CAGTAACTGTATATACAACTGTATTGTATAGAAGAATATGTTTATATAGAGCTCAAGAACTACGTATTAATTACATGTATCAAGAGGAACAAATTATTAGGAATATTTATTCTGGAATGTCACGTTATGTCCATCTCTGTTTTTAACTGTACTATAAATAAAAAACTTTAAAAAAAAAGAAAAAAGAAATAGAGAGGTGATGTTTGCAAGACAATGGAAAAAGTACGCTATTATAAAAATAATACAAATGCATTTTTTTCAAGTTGGGGTAGGTAATTAAAAAGCTTCAAGTTTTTTTGAATCAAGCCTGGGTCCCCATTATTACACGGATATGTTCAAATCATATTTTGTACAATAGTAGGTAATTGAGTTGCCATTGCCTTCTTCACTATTTAGTTAATTTGCTTTGTAATTGACTGCCGTTTAGAAAAAAATGTGTTGTTCTCCACCAAAATTGTGGCTTCTGCTGCATGATGCAGTGATCAAAGAATGCATCTTCACAGTGAGTCTGGCTGTCTAATAGCCCAAGTGGGGGTCCCCAATACAGTTTTTGCTCCAATCCATGCACAGGACAAGATATTTTATTTCCTAGTTGGGAGAAGAATGTACAAAGTCTGTATAAAGAAATAATTACAAAACCATCTCTAAAATGAAGGAGAAAGAAAAACCAATGGATGCTAAGTTTGAATTTTCCTCTCCCTCCAATGCTTCTGCCATTTTGTCCATTGAAAGGAGGATATTGGGCTCAGGAGGCCATTGTACTTTCCATCCCTGTCATACTTTTGATCCATGAGATCAACGGGAGAAAATGCCATTTGTCTGCTCTGCTGATCAGTGTTGTCATTCATATTGCTTGAGCTGATATATGTCACTTCCACAGATGCAGAGTTATCTACCAAGAAGGAAATGAGTCTCTGCAGATTTTAGTCTCTGCTAGTCATTTCTAGTCTCCATTTTGAGGCCATGAGGCAACACTGTCCAAAGAAGTTTCTGCGGTCGTATGCCCAACATGATGTCGTGGAGTGCTGTTTCCTCTCCACCAAAGTGGTACCTATTTATCTACTTGCATTTGCTTGCTTTTGAACTGCTAGGTCAGTGACGGCGAACCTTTTAGAGACCAAGTGCTCAAACTGCAACCCAAAACCCACTTATGCATCGTTGGGTGCCGGGCGGGTGTGGCCAATTGGGTGGGTGTGGCCCATTGGGTGGGTGTGGCCCATTGGGTGGGCATGGCTGCGGTGGTAACGGCAGACTGGGTGGGACTAAAAAGTTCAATCAATCAATTCCAACTTTGCAAGATCTTTTTTTTTCTGCAAGAAGTTGAAATTGACTGACTGATTGAACCTTTTTTTTTTTTTTTGCACACAGCGACAGAAGCCTAAAGTGAAAAGGTTTTATAAAACCCAGCTGAAGATCTAGGACTGGGGCGATGGCGCGCATGCCCACAGAGAGGGCTCTGAGTGCCGCCTCTGGCACCCGTGCCATAGGTTCGCCACCACTGTGCTAGGTGAAGACGGGCGTTCATCCCGCCACATGACAATCAGGTCTCGAACCCGGGCTGTTGGCTTTTCAGCTGACAAGCCCAGCATCTTACCCGCTGAGCCCTCATGTCGCCATCTACCAATGAGAGATTGCATGTATTCAATTGACACTCTGTGAAATGCTCGAGATATACGTTTTCATGAATCTGTTCAGGTATCTTTCCCATACATTTGTCATTTATATCTTTACAAACTTAGGAATGATGTACTGACTTGTAGAAACAAAGAGTAAACTTCTTTTCCTTGTTACCAGAGAATGTTCCTTAATATTTCCATCTTGCTTGAAAGATTTGGGTTTAAGCGCCATATAATCCATTTTCTGCCCCATTAGTCTAGCCATGTACTAGACCTGTGGAATAATGGAGAAAAGAAAGTTGCCCGTAATATGTTGATCCTTGGTCATCCCTTGAGGTGCTATACAAACCTAAGCCATTTTCATTTACTTGCCTGAAAAGAACATTATGAACCCTGCAGAAAGTCTTAAAATGGCAGCTCCTATTCAGCCTGGCCTTTTGTTCAGCATTTTTTGGGCTCCTGAAAGGAGTGTCCCACTGCTCCAATTACAATAAATGGGTATATTTCATGTATTCTGTATTTTATGTGTTCTGTGGAATACTAGAAAGAGGAGGGAGCATAAAAGAAGCCAAATATTTTATAAATGTAAAGGGAAAATGTCTCTAAAGCTACAAAGGAGAGAAATTAGTAGGATTGAAAAACTACTATCTGCAAAGAAATCTATGTTTTTTTCTCAAAATTCTAAAATATATTTTGAAACATTTTAAGGAAATCATTGCATTGGACAAGAAGATGCATATAACACGACTCTGGGGTTTGCATGTTCAAAATGGCAATTGTGGAGCTGATATATCCCAGAAACTTCCCTTCTTGTCTGCTAGGCTCCATGCCCCACACGATTTTATTCTGCGTTATTTTTATTACTTTAATTAAAAAAATAAAATAAAAATCCACCATGTTTTAAAGTCAAGCTCCAACCATGAGGATAATCTTTATGTCTTAAGAATGTTTCTGTGCCCCTGTATCTAGCCCTAAGGCAGTCTTCGAAAATAAAACACTATGGGGCTACCACCACTGCTTTATTTGAAATTATGCCCATCTGCCCAGAAGAAAAGGAAATAAACTGAGACAGCATGGGAAGGAAGAAGCCTTGTTTGTTTGCCTTTCATAAATGAGTAGGTATTTGTATTTGTATTTAGTCACACCAAATAGTAGCTCTTTGGTCAGTGTGCCTATAACAGTGATGGCAAACCTTTTAGAGACCCAGTGCCCAAACCGCAACCCAAAACCCACTTATCACCAGGTGCCGGGTGGGTGTGGCTGCGGTGGTCATGGCAGACTGGGTGGGTGGGGGCCAGTCCCTCACTATCTCCGGGGCACGGCACGCGTGCCCACAGAGAGGGCTCTGAGTGCTGCCTCTGGCACGCGTGCCATAGGTTCACCACCACTGGCCTATAACATGTGAGGATACCTATAATTTGCTTGCTCGAAAAGGTTGGGATTCCCTGTTGTAGAATTTAGCCTGGATATAGATACATGACGAATCATAGCTTTTGCATTGTTTTTTAATCAATTTCTCTACCTTGATGAAATCCTGCAATTCAGGATGCAAATCATGGAAAATTCATCTTATTTTATACTGATTCTGCAAATATCAGTATTCTGGTTCAAATTTGAATTCAGTGAGATTTGTAAATGGACTTAAAATAATTCACAACTTTAAATAATGATAATTATTTGGCTTACTGATTAATTAGCTTATCTTTGACTGTAATTGTGCAGTTTTCCTTCTTATTTTTGGCAAGTAATCTGTCTTTCTTCTGGCATATCCAGATTCTGATTAATTTGCTTAGCATAGCTCCCCTTATAGGTAGGAGGAGGAGGCGGTGATAGCTGCCTTTGATACTATCATTATATAGTGTTTGTAATTTTTAGAGCCAGTTTGGTATAATGATTAATGCACCAGGCTAGACACTGAGGAACTGAGTTCCAGTCCTGTCTGAGGCATGAAGTCAACTGGGTGACTTGGGACAGTCACTCTCTCAGCCTTAGGAAGCAGGGAAGGGCAAATCAAATCTGAAATCTTGCCAAGGAAACGGAGGGACTACTTGTCAATGCTGATTCAGGCATAACAAAGTATTTTTATCTTCAACATGGAACAGCGGTGAGATCTTCAGAGCCAAGATTTCTTGAGAGACTTTTCATACATTTCCTTGACCTTACCCTTCAGACAGTAAAATATTTTGGGCCGCTCACTTCTGCTGTTCGTTATCGTAACAAATACACCTGTATTAATTCTATCCTTGCTATCCTTTTGCCTGACTCCCCTCTTCACTTTTTTCCCTACAGTATTGTGCTATTTCTATCATTTCATAATAGCAAAGAGGCTTAGATTCAAAGATGTCTTTGGCTTGCACAAAGCAGCCTCACTCCCTATTTTGTTGCAGCCCCCTTTGCTCCTTTATCTTTCTGCTAAGGATGTATCATTGCCCAAGCAGAATTTTATGTGTTTGTTGTGAAATCTAATTTATTATTGGTGTTCTTTTCTGTAATATTATACTGTGCGTGCTGTGCAGGCATTTTGAGAATGATGGTTACATGAAGTAGAACTAGTAATTACACCAAAAAAAACATTCAAAATGCCAATAGAAAGAGTCTATCTTTTTATTTTAGAGGTAAAATTTAAATGAAACCTTTTTTATTATTGGTATGGGAAAAAATCTAATATATTTGCTGGAGGAAAGAAAGGGAGGAAGGGAGGGAGGGAGGAAGGAAGGAAGGAAGGAAGGAAGGAAGGAAGGAAGGAAGGAGTGGGAACAGATGCCATTAAAAGATAAGATTCTCCATTGAATTAAGCTTGGCTCATGCTTTCTTCATCAAGTTTCTCCAAGTATAGTTTTTCAGCTTCTCAATCCTGAAATTTTCTGGTGATCACCCATCCAAATGCTAACCAAATCTGACCTTGCTTAGCATTTTTTCAGCCAACATTGTATAATTGGGGGGGGGGTTTCCCCCTTAGGGAGATACTTTTACTCACAATAGATGGTTTGTAATACTAGACAGTATTTATTCTCCCTTTGTAATACACTAAATAAACTAGCTTTCTTAAGCCTGCTGTATGTATATTAGAAGGATGTGAAGTATCTTAGTTCCTCCCAAGTTTTCACTGGAATTTAATATGATGTGGCTGATGGTAAGCCATGATCCTCTTTTGGACATGTTAATTGATTAAAAATAAAAGATAAGTCTTGTTTTGGGCCACACTAGATCTCAATGTCATATCAAGCAATCATGTGAGTGTGCACATGGTATATTTGTGAGGGTAGAACAAAGCCAAACTTTCTTTTAAAAAAGTATTAATGTTGTCATTAATATGATTACATGGTAATCAATGGTAATTTATTCCATTGATGCAGTAACTGTACCATATATATTTGTCCACAGGCCATGTGACTGGCTGTCAGCGTGTTTTCTACTCATCAGTTAATCATATCTACTTATACCGGTCAAGCATTCATCAAAGAAGACACCTTTTTTGCCACAGACAGAAAAATGCTTATCAGGTAGTTTGGCCAGCTGATGTGTCTCCTGCTCATCCAGTTCCTAAGGTACTATCATTTTTATTGCACTTTTTAGCAGTCAATATAGAGAATTGTTTAATGAATAATCAAGTACATCCCAACAACTAGCAGTTTGAATCATGGTTTTGTTACCAGGGCTGGAATTTGATATCAGAACATAGGTTCACAAAGTAGTATTCAGTCAGTTTCTCAGCTAGTCTCAGTCTGATATTCCTGCTGCTGCTAAGTCCCAATGTGACTTTTTTTTGGTTAGCCTCTTGTTTATAAAATGATGAAATTGGTTATATAATCATGTAAATAGGGATTGGCCATATATCATCAATTCTCTTTATATCCATTTTTAAATTAGCAAATCCAAAAACAGTTCTCTCTCTCTTTGTTGAGTAGCAGCATGCTACTCAACATATTAAAAAGTTGTTCAATTGTCATGATATGTATCTTAACAAATTAATTATTATTATACTGCTTAAAGCAAGTAATAGAAAAACGGCCGCATAGTACAATATGTTTCAAATAACTGGCATATTTCATTGTTTAATCCTTGAGTCAGACAAATTCTTAGAAAATGCATGGTGATGTTGTTTTTGTTTCATGTTCATTAATAATTTTTGAATTGTAGTGGCTTTTATTATTGAAATTACTTTGTAATTTGTAAACTATTACTTTCAAAATATTGGAAATATCTTTGTATGTATTCATGTGTGTGTGGGTGTCTGTGTCTGTGTGTAGATCCTGTTGTAAACTTCTTTGAGTGAAGTTTGATCCCTGAGGACAACATGGATAGATTCTTATTGTTTTCTTTGCAGTAAGCTGATGAAAGTGATCTGCCACTGCCATCTTCTCATTTATTTTAACAATTTCTGAGACTAGTCTAAAGCCTGGGATGCTGGATTTTTTTCAGGTGGGGGGGGTGTTGTGAGATTAGGAATGGTTTGCCTCTCAGAGGATTCTGGTACTGCTGAACTAAAAGGGTGAAAAAAAGTCTCCTGCCTGCCTAGGTATTGAATGCTGTAGTGCCATTATGGTATGGCATTACACTTAGCCTAGGTTGGATAGGGTAGAGGAGAGCCACTCAGTCACGGAAGTGCCTAATGATTTGGGGGTTTGTTCACCATCTTAAACTCCTGAAGAAAAAGAAGGATAGAAATCTAATTCACAAATAAATAAATAAATGAATGAATAAAATACCAGCCAGTGTTGAGCTCAGATGTCTTTCATGTTAGAAACCTAACAGATCAGGAGTATTTGTATTTATAAAATTACACACACACACACACGCACACACGCACACACACACACACGGACACAACAGAGAAAGAGAGAGGGACATGAAGACACATATCCATATACACAGACCTATACACATACTTTATGTTATATCTGTGCAAGAATAATTTTGAATAACTGCTACGTTGATAATTCTCTTCTACAGAGTCAGAGTTCTTATCCACTTTTATGGGATTCGGGATTTAGACTTTTTCCTTCCATTCATATATCAGTTCAGAACTCTGTGAAGTTACCTGGCTTGTTTTGAAAATGTGGATTTTTCTTTTTTTTTCTTTTTTTAAAAAAAGGCAAACTAGAAGTGAGAGTGCCATTAGGAACCTTTGGTCTGAGTGAAAAGCTGCTGTGATACCCTGAATTTCTGTGCTGTAGGGCTAACAGGCTCTGCCAGTAACAAACACTGTGAAGTTCAAAAGGGCAGTGGGACAAATACTGGGGCAGGCTTCAGGGTTTGCCCTGATGGCTTAGGAAGGTCACTCAGACAACCAATAAGACAGGCTGAAGGGGGGGGGGCTGTATCTGAGAAAATGATCCCATTGTCATGCTCCATGTTCTGATCTTCGTTTTTGTTCCTTCATTTCCAAGCATATAAAACAGCCAGACTATGTGACGACAGGCGTTCTGCCTGACATGGGAGATGAAATAGACCTTAAGAATGAAGATCAGATTCAACGGCTTCGTCAGGCTTGTCAGCTGGCCCGTCATGTCCTGCTTCTGGCTGTGAGGAGTGTAAAGGTAACACAAGCTTGGCAGCTCCTGGCTTTGCTTTTTGAAATTTCATAACATTTCCTTTTACATATATGCATTTTATAGTTATTTATTGTACATCATAAACTCTATAGACTGATTACAATAGAATTCTTACTTTTCACATGCGTCCTTCAACAAACCAGCTTGATTAGTCATAAGCTGCCCTCCTTGATCCATCTCCCCCCCCCACAATCTGTATCTATACCAAACCACCAACATCTAATTCCAATATATGCCTTGAAAATTAAGCAGTTTCTTTTCAAGTATTTATTTTATTTGGCTTGTATGTTTGGAATTTTTAAATTTCTGTCTTTCACCCTGTGGAAGACCAGAAGGAGACAATGATTTGTGCCTATGAGAAATACAGAAATTCTGCTGCCTTGACTATTGGAAAAAAGGAGAATAAGAGCTTGTCTTTATAAACTGAACAATTAAAAGCACATGATTAAACACTGGATTTGCTCTGCTCAAAGCTGAGTAGAGTTTATTATGTATCTGAAGCTTTCTAAAATCCTTGTGGTTTTAATAGTCAGAGTTTGGGGTCCAATTCTTTTGACTAAATGTATCAGCAATTTGTGTTACTTATCTCTGTGTGAAGGCAGATGAGCATCTCCATTGTTTGGTCACAGGCAAACTCTTGGTTCAAACTTGCTGATTTTCAGCTGTATAGGTATTACATTTGATTGATTTGTACAGTACAAGTAGTCCTCAACATACAACCACAGCTGAGCCCAAACTTGCTAAGCAAGTTGTTAAGTCAGTTTATGACCTTTCTTGCCAAAGTTCTTAAGTGAATCATCACAGTTGTTAAGTTAGTAACACGCTTGTTAAGTGAATCTGGTTTCCCCACTGACTTTGCTTGTCAGAAGATCACAAAAGTTGATCACAGGAGCCCAGGACACTGCAACCCTCATAAATACGTACCAGCTGCCAAGTGTTCACATTTTGATCATGTGACCGTGGGGATGCTGCAATGGACATAAGTTTGAAAAATGGTCATAAGTCACTGTCTTAAGTGCCATTGTAACTTTGAATGGACACTAAAGAAATGGTTGTAAGTTGAGAACTACCTGTATTGCTTTTCTAGATATTTTTCTGTCTTCCTTTTCTTCTAAACATATTCTGGATTTGTAACTTGTTTGTAAAGCCTACCATGGCACAATGTCTATACCATTTATTACATTAAATCTATAAGGAAACATGCAATCCCAGTGGGGAAAAAATCATATTTTAAAACAACACACATTTTTTAAAAGTATGGTTACTTAGTGCATTTACATTCCACATTTTTCCAGATTTTCCAAAACACATATAGGAGGTCTTCTCTCCTTTTATCTCCACAACAATCCTGTGTGGTAGGCTTGACTGAAAGAGAGGGACTAACTCAAATTCATCCAACGAGCCCCATATCCTAGTGAAGAGCTGAACCTGTCCAATACTTAACTACTTTTCCACATATATTGGTGGTAATATTGTGGCAATAATTTAAAATCATGTATTTTAGCTCTTTTAAAGGAGATTTGGGAGCAGAGAAAGAAGCCCTACATGCTCCCTTCAGCACTATTGGCCAGATTAATATCTCATTCCTAAACTGAGGATACTTTTCAAAATTATAAACTGAGGAATGCACAACAAGATGTATATAACTATATGTACTCAAGGACCAAAAAGCCACCTAGGCTAACCCCCAAGGTTTGTAATTTTAACAAATTTTAAATGATGAATTTTGCAGCTCATCTTTGCACGAAATGGACAGAAAAAGAACTTCTGTAGTGGAAAGGGGCTCTGCTTGTCTTAATCAAAAATTTGCGAAATTCCATTCATACAATCCAAATGGCAAATATGATTGTGTTTGAGCTTTGCTGACCTATCCTTTAGGCATAAAATATTATCAATAAATTAACCGGGACTATCTAGCCAGAGAAGGGGGCAGAGATGGAAAACAGAAATGGAGGGCAGTGTAGAAAGAAAATGAATTAGAATGAACAGCATGAGCCTGCCGAGATGTAAATGTAACCTAAAGAAGTTTCTAGTGAAGATGAAAGGAAAATAAGGGCTAGAATAGAGAACAAAAGAAAAAGAAGAATCAGATGGCTGAAATCACAAGCACTTGAATATGTCAAGCAGCTAGATTAAGGACCAAAACGAAAGGTACAAGATATGAATGATGAAGCCCAAGAAGAATATTGCAGTAATGGGGATGAGGCTTCATAAGGTTTTAGCTATGTCACAAGAAAGGTAAGGACCAATTTTTCCAATGTTCCAAAGATGAAAACAAAAAATTTGAATGAGAGACTGGCTGGATAGAAAAATTAAGATGAGAATTGGATATTCATAGATGTTATTAACTTGAATAGGTGAAGAACCTTAAGAATGAAAGTATGTTAAGATTAGGTGGAAAAAGCAAAAGAATAAACATATCAGTAATGTTCAGATGCTGTGATAAACATCTTCAGAAAAAAAAACAATAGACAAGGCCAAACTTACAAAGGAAATTAAAAGATTATTGAAATCAAAAGAGGAGGTGGGAAATCTAATGTAAGGAAGCAATATAGAAAAGTAAGAAGAGTCAAGAATTTGAGTTCAACCAAGGAAAAGAAATATATGAAGTGGTTAATGGACAAGGATAAGCTAACATTTTAAAATGTATGTTTTAAACCAATAAACATGAATAAAAAAATCAAAGAATTAAAACAAGAGGAATAAACGAGAAATTAAAAAGAAAAATTGCAACAAGAAGACATAGAAAGCTTTGCATAGAAGCTTTGATGTGGTGGATGTTGTTCCATTGGGAGATGTGTGCCATAGACACAATCCTACACTTTGGCAGTTTTGTCTGGCCTTGGAAACTACACAAGGTTTACTAATGTTAGTGCTTGGATGGAAGACCATCAAGGAATTCCAGACTATAAGCTAGAAGAGAAAGTTTTTGAAAAGAATATCTCAGAAGAAGGCAAGGGCAAACTTTCCTTTATATATATTGTTACCAAGAAAACTGCATAGATGAATCGATTGGTAACCAGGCATAGAGCTGGACTCAGAGATGTCTTTATTTTTTATTTAAATGGAATAGAATCATACAACAGCCCACATGATGTTAAAAACATTTAAGAAGTGGAAAGAAGAACAGCGAAAAATAGGACCTTATTACAGAAGGGATAAACAATTTTAAATGAGTAGAGCAGATATGTCAAACACAAGGCCAGATGCAGCCCACGAAGTGGTTTCATGTGGCCCGCGAAGCCATCCTGGAAACAGTGAGGGAACGGCCCCCGCTGCTTTGGTCCTGGCCCAGGCCGGCCGGGAGCCAATGTACAATTTTGTGGTGGCCATCTATGCTGAAACGCATTCAGTCTTAGCTCCACAAGGCCATCTGAAAACAGCAAGGGACTGGCCCCTGCTGCGTTGGCCCTGCCCCCTGGGTGCATGCTGGGGAGGTGTCACCCTTTGTGAGGAATGAAGAAATGGACCATGTCTTGGTGCTTGCCCCGGTCCCACCCCCTTCTGCCAAAGATCCTCAGATTTGTCCCACTCCTGCCCAGGCCCCCACAGGCACCCTTGACGCGAACGATGTAGAGCTGGCCATGCCCACCCAGTAGGCCACACCCACTTCATCCACGCCCACCCAGTAGGCCACACCCACCCTGGCCACATCCACCCAGCCCCCTGAGGGCAGCCGCAATGCTGATGCGGCCCTCAATGAAATTGAGTTTGACACCCCTGGAGTAGAGTATTAACATAAGGTCAACCTAGAAGACTGCAGAAAGGAAAGGCTTTGTTAAATGATAGTTCAGACAACCAAACGAAGAGAAAGGAGGTGTGTGTTTATATAATACGATAGAATAAAGAACAGATGAATAGATACTTGATATAGGAGTGAGGAATGGGAACAACAATAAAATAATATTGGATATTTCATTCTGCTGATTCCTGTTCAGTATTACATTTCACCACCCATATCTTTTTACACGATAATGAAGTAAGTGGTAAGTTATTCAGACAGACTGATTTGTATCCCTTGTTTCCCACTTTTCTTTTCCATCATTTCATACCTCTGCTTCTTGGTAGGTTGTATACCGAAGGGGGGACTTCCATGATTCTTGAAAAATATGCTCTGTACTTCTGCAGACTTCAGGATTTCCTCAAGCATGCCGAGATCCCCCTCTGGTTTCTCTGCAAACTAATTTTGCCTCCATTTTTCTTGGCAGTGAGTTTTCTATTAGAGAGAATGGTATCCAGCAAGAACTGCATGAAATAATACAAAATGGAATAAAGAGGGGGGGAAAGGAACACTAAAAAGAGAACAATTTAACCCTTTCCTCATACTTCATTTTCTCTAAAAAGCTGCCCCATCTGAACTGTTGCTTGACCTATCAGTAAAAGCATTCTGCTAGTTAGGAAGAACTTTTTTTAAAAAAAATAATGGCTTTAAAACCATCTGATAAATTTATAAACTAGACAGTTTCTTCAAAGTTCGTATAGGGCTCATTGATTTTTAAAATACACGATACTGTACATTGAAAATTGAAAACTCTTTCCTTTTAAGATCATTTTTGAGTCACTACTAGACACAGGAACTGAACTTTCTTCTTTAGAATCCAAACCTGAAATATTCATATTAGATCTTGCTGAGTTCTCTATGTCAAGCTGCTATTGAATCTAATATTATTTAACATGTTAATCTAATGCAGCCAAAGTTTTGATGCAAAAGCCAGGGATTCTGTATGAAAAAAAAAATACAACAAAAGCAGTTGATCAAAATCAACTAATGTTACTTTAGCTTCTTTAAAATGAAATATACACATTTGCTAATATTGCATTGAACATACTGTATAATGCAATATTAAACTGAATTTAAATTTCATATATTATTCTGGTTCCAGGGCAAATGTGCAAGGTTTAGGAGAATGTTTTAGTATTTCACTTCATAAATCTTCGATTCTAAAATAGTCTGCTTTTAATAAAACAAAGAGTTCCATTTGCAA